AGCCCTCAAAAACAGGCCCAGCCAAATTGACACACAACCTTAACTACCACACCAGGTAACCTCAGAAGCTGGAAATAGGGTTCCCTGCTTAAAAACCAGAAAGAACCAGCACCTAATAATGAAACAGGCCAGGATAAACCATGTCTCCCCTGCTCCATGTCCTAACAGTCAGGGCTCACTATACAATATTCAATGACTAACTTGGCCTCTCAAAAATCTTGATCATGAGAGAGAGGTAACCTGGCCAAGGGACAAGATTAGTCTCTTATTTTGTCATTCACAATAAACTAAGTGGCTGACCATGTGAACTCTTGAAGCTCTGTGGGTCTGGCTGCTGGGAGTCAGCTCTGGGTGCACTGATAGACGAGGACCTATTATGTGAGGCTGGGGTTCATCAGACACAAAGGCTCTGTATGGTGTCACTTGGAGATGCACCCTAGATGCAACTAGGGGACCTAGATGGCATTCCCCTTTTCTCTAGCCTTTACTGCTGTGACCCGCTACTAGCTCCAGGTGCAGGAGCTGACATAAAAAAAACCCTGCATGGAAGCATGACCCCAAAGAGAGGCAGGCCACCAGGCTCTCACCCCACACTCATTAGGCACACTTGCTCTCCCTTCTCAGCCTTTCAAATCCTTCATCCCTTTAGCCTCCTTCACTTCCATGGCTCCTGTTTAGGGTCATCTTCTCTTTCCCAGATGGCCTAAAAGCCCCACATGGACCCCATCCTTCACTTGCAGCCAATGGACCTCTGCCTGCACCTGGCCTTGCTCCCAGCCTGCTCTGAGCCACACCAGAGTTGCCTACGTCCATAGACGGGCACCCACACTGCTCAAAGGCCACAGAGCAGAGGGTAGAAGTTTTACTCTGGAATTGGACCTATGTGAACGTGAGCAAGTTAACCTGAGCCTGGTTAAAGGGCTTGTTTAAGAATTAAATCAGCTAATGTACATCAGGTACTTAGTGGGCATTAGAGAAATGGTTGCAATTATCATGTCTTGCCAGGCTTTTGCTGTGTTACAGCCTTGCCTTGTACAACCTACTCTTACCACCTACCCTCTTGGTGCTTGCACTCGTGTGCCACTGGGCTGGGGCCCATTTAGTCCCTCTGTCTGGACTCTCGTGTGCATCACACCCAGCTAGTTCTGTCACTTACGTTTCAGGTCTCAAATTATCACTTTTCCTAAGAAGCCTCCCCTAAATTACCCCTTCAAGACTAGGTGTATTACCTATGATAGCACCTGACATCCTGCTCTGTGACTTCAGGTTTACTCAGGTACTAAGTCCACCTGGTCAGTGTCTTTTTGAGCACTAGGAACATATCTGAGTCCTGGTGGAGACCACAGCACTTATCGTGATTAAGGTGAGTGAGAGGAAGAAGGGAAAGGCAGGGAGGTCACTGTGCACCATCTCCAGCATGGTCACAATCACTGAGTCTGGTAAGCAAGGGGTCTCTGGCACCTGTGACCAATACTGTCTCCACAGAAAAACTCTGATGAGCTTCCAGAAAACAAAACAAAACAAAACAAAAACTCTGGCATTTCCAGAAAAATGCCAGGAGTGACCGATCCCAGAGAAACTGGGCAAAGGTAGCCAAAACAAGGTGTTTGGCTTCAAAAGTTGTGCTGACAATTTGTAAGAGGCTCAGCTCTTCCTTTGTATGGATATTCCAGAGTGTGGGGACACTCGACTGAGCCCCAATCCCCTCCCCCAGGTCTGGCTGCTGTCCTCCCTCTCACCTTGCCCCTGGATCTGGGATGAAAAGACCCAGGATAAGGTCTGGCACCATGAACACATTTCGTTTTCAGTGGATTTCTTTGCCTTTCTGTGGATTTGTGAGGCTTAGGTTGGCAAAGCTCAAAAGCACTCTGAGATAACTGTTATTAGTGCTAGACCCTGTCTCAATTTAAGAAGGAGGTGGGAAAGAGAGAGAGCACAAAACAGGGAGAGCTGTATGACCAATTACATTGGGGCTGATGCCAGAAAATCCAGCTGTGCTTAGAATGCTCTTGCCTCATACCCTGTATGCACTGTATGGTTTCCCTCAGATTCTGTGTGTGGAGCTGGCTGCTGCTGCCTGAGTTCTCAACACAAGAGAAGGCACTAGCCCACCCTCAAAGACAGGTGCTAGGAGAGCCAGGCAGGGTTACAGGTCTAGCTAGAGAAGCACTACCCAACACTGACACAGGACCACCTGTGTCACACCATGGCTTATAGGCCAAATCAGAACATACTTTCTAATTCCTGTGGGTGTTTTGTTCTGTTATGTTAACCACTCCATACCCACCAGGGGCTGCTGCCAATGTGGAAGGCACTCTTTGACCCTCTCTCCTTGACCCTGTGCATTGGAAACAGGTCAGAACACATGTCAAGCCTGCCACTTATAGTCAAAGGGCCCACACATTAATCCTCATGCTCACCTGTCTTTAGTTTCAAGCTAAGCCTATCCCTGGAGTAAAAAGTTAAAGTTCTTTCCTCCCTCATTGGATTTATACAGGAATACTTAGGAAAATGACTTATATTGCTCTTCGAGTCAGTTTCTGTTCTTTCAAACTAAAGCTCAGTGTATAATCAGAACAACTGTATTCGTCAGTGCTCAGCAAATGGAGCCTGGGCTGTGGACTCCGGGGTTAGGCACTGCAGTTCTGGGGAACAGATACTCAATCCCCAGTCTGTGCAGTTAAAAAGTAGTAATGCCAAAACCCTGATTTCTTTCAGCTCACATTATCATTTATTCTCTTGTGGAGAAATCAATTCACTTTTCCCAGCATTAGCTGCCTGCCTAATGGAGAAACATAAGCGCCTCTACAGAAAGGCAGCCCCGCCCACATGACAGGCAGGGGCTGTTGGTGCCATGGTCCTCACAGGCAGAGTGGGTGTCCCCAAAGCAGGAAGGAAGAACATATAGCACACACAAAGTCAAGTTTACCCAAGTTGCCCTTTATTAACAGAAATGAGTAGCTTTTGGTAAATTCCACCAGAGGACACAACCAGAGCTGAAGAGCACAGTGTGCAGTCTATGGAATTGCAACCTCCTGTTCCTCATGGCTGCCTGCTCACAACAGGCCATCACCAGTACTAACAGTCACCTAACAGACATTCATCGGAGGGAGGTAAGGAGACAGCCCAGGCAGGAGCATTAATGTAAAAATTAAAAACATTTTCTCTTGTTAAGAGTGTTAAGATATCATGATATCATGATTGCACACGCACTCAATGTAAAATGGAAAATAAGCAGGTTTACAAATTACCACTTAGTACTTAAAAAATTAATTCAAGGTTCTTTTTGGCAGCATGGACCTAAACATTGTGGGTTTCCAATATTTCAGCAACTTCAGGTATATTACACTCTTCTGAGGAAGTTCAAATATTTCAGAATTCCAGGAGTGGCTGCAGAGAAAGAACAGCACTGGCAACAAATATTAAAACATTTTAAGACCTACAGGAATACACTGAGATGTTCATAGACATACACACATATTTCAACATTCATGCTAATACTCTAAATACTTTTTCTATTAACACACTTATATTTTTTTTTGGTTTAAAGAAAACAAGAACTTTGTAGGTGAATCTGGTTTGGTCATGGCTATCTGATAAGTGCAACAGGACAACTTTGTCCCCCTCCCCAAAGAGCTCACTTCAATACACCCTCTAGTTTGCTCAGCTGCTCTTCTTATTCTGGGCTTCTCTTCCTGGTGGAATCATAGAGACTGAGCTGCAACATCATTTTAGAGAGAGACTTTTCAGGCGTGTGGCTCTGTGTGCTTCAAGAATGTGAGTTGGCATGAAGGATGGGATGCAAACCTGCACAGCACCCAGGGGCTGCCCACGCTGTGACTACACAGCTTTTCTGCCCTCTGGCCTGGCCTGAAGGTGGAGCTCACCCACCTGAAAGCATCCTTATTGGAGCTCAAATCAGAAACATCAGAGAGCTCAATGGAATTGAAGCTTTTCCATTGTGACTTCAAAGCCATAATGGCTGAACATTTGAGACAGAGTTGACTGGAACACCTTTATAAAAAAATTTTAATGAGGTAGATGAGGTCAAATACCCAATCCAAAGCATTCACAAAGGTGCTTAATAAATGCTCAAGCATTTTTAAACGTAAATGGCCACTAGCCCTAAAGGGTGCATGCAGACCTTGAGGAGTGCCTGTCAGAGTGTGCGCAGTGGGAGGAAGCCATGCACCTGGACAGCTGGAGGGGGAAGGCCCTGGTGCACACTGGCTTCGGCTCCAATGGACTTGCCACCAGAGAGCAGGGGCAGTCCTTGGAAAGCAAACCAGAACTCAGGTACATGGCCAAGGCAGTGGGGAGCCAGGATTGGCACCTACACCCTCTAGCCCCCTTTGTTTTAGGTCCAGGAACCAGTCATTTGTCCCTGCTCTAAGCCCACCCAGGCACCAGCCATTTGCCCCTGCTCCCAGGCCCAGCTGCAGCCTTCTGGGCTGCTTTTTCAGATGTGGAGCTCACAGGCCTTTGGGGAGAAGGGACAGGAGGGGAGGGAAGAGAGGGGAAGAGGGGGGTAAAGGGAAAGATGGTGACATAAATCCTAGTATCATGCATTTTGTGACTTTTATGGCAGTATTGATCTTTAGGTTCCACACACACGAGGTGTACACTTCCACATACCACATACACACACCTGCACAAATTATATTCTCACACAAACACACACACCTGCAGCAGTTATTAGCAATACATACCATGTGTTAAATACACATGAGCTGCACACATAAGCACACAGCATGCTAACTCACGTGCACTCAAAGACCCAGGCATGCACACACCCTTGGCAGTGCATGGCAGAAGAGCAGTGTCCTTTGGCGAAGTTAGTGAAGGCGTTGGCAGGCCAAGGTAGGGGGAGGGTGGGTACCAGTGAAGGGAGTCTGAGGAGCTCCACCGCTGCCACCGCCTGCAATCACCCTTCCCTGGCCCAATCCCTGCCAGCTCAATCCCTGCCACCCTGTCCCAGGCCATGAAAGTGTCCAGCATACCCTGTGCACACGCAGGGATGCAGATAAGCAGGGAAAGAGAGTGAGGACCAGATCCCGCTCCATTAGGTCTCTGTTGTATAGTCACTGCAGGCCAGAGGAGCCAGGGTCGAGAAGCTGCTCCACCGCCTTGTGCCTGGCTGGGCCTCCACGTGCCCTTGCTCTTTATATTTACCCAGAATGGTTTTGGCTTCTTCAGCATCCTGCAAAGGGCTCTCTCCATACTCTTCCTTCAGCCACTGCCGATACTGGCGAGGTCGGAGACAAAATGAAATGTCACATATCATGGCCTGCATTCAGGGAGACTTTACCTATCATGTAATGGTAAAGGTTTTGCCAAATATGCACAAGGAAATAAAGGTGCCTCAGGCAACCATAGCTCTGCTGTGGACCTGCCAGTGCTGAGCAAGGGAAATGTGTGCTTTTTCAAGGTTTTGGTCTGGACATGAAGGAAGCCAAAACAAGAAAGAGGGCATTTCACCAAAAAGGAGGTGCCCAAAAGCTAATTCAGGGTACCCAGAATGGATACTGCAGAGTGAAAGGTACACAGGCTCAGAGTCTGTGGCTCTGTGCTGCACCATGGGCAGTGGTGATCTCCATGTGCTTATAAGTCGGGCTGTCCTTGAACCAAATAACCTTTGTGCCCATGCACAAGAAGCAAGGGCATCTCTCCTGATGACTGATTACCTGGTGGACTTCATGCTTCTCAAACTCCTGGAGCTGTCTCTGGAAGCCCAGGTTGGGGTTGGCACAGGACCGACCTGCACGCACGGTGTGCAGGGCGTCTTCCCAGCCAAAGTCGGTGATGGTCATGATGTATGCCGTCACTAGGGTCACGCTCCTGGAGACACCAGCCAGGCTGCAGGCCAAGAAGTCAGCACACGTGAGGGGCTCTAAGGGCAAGTGCAGATGCACAATCCTATCACTCAACCATGGGGAACAGTGGGTGCTGAGGCCCTTTTAGAGAGTCTCATTGCCTTCGAGTCTTATTGCCAGCAGGTGACTCAGAAATAGAACCCAGCTTCCCTCTATTTATTACACTGACATCTCAGGCATTCTTTAGCTGTTTTAGTCTCATTTGTTATTTTATACTGACATGGCTCTGGACGTCAACTTTATAATTCTCTATTGTTCCTCAACCTGCCTCAGTTATTTTCTGTTTTCTTGGACAGATAAAACACTGAAGTATACCTAGGTGACCTGAGACTTCAAACATCTATGTAGTAAATCCATTTATAACCTACATTAGTTCAGAATACTTTGTATTTTATCAAAGTCTGGTTATCTTAGATATATAAGGGCTGTATCTTTAAGTTTTAAAACCTACTAGATACAGAAGTCCTTAGCAATTTTACTTTTACGTTCTTTTTCATAAACCAGGCTGAGTGCAAAAGCAGGTACACTCCACATCCTCAGCCAGGCTCTCTGACAGGTGGCAAAAAGGATACTTTTTAGGCAATAACGGTTTATTATCTAGAGCAGGCTGAGTAAGGACCAATTTTAAATGCATATGCAAATCAAAGGCAGTTACAGAGAGGTGATGCTACGTCAAACTTAAAGTAATCTGAGCAACGGTTTAAGGTGGGGAAGTTTAGCAAATTTCTGACTCTTTGAAAAGCATACGTTCAGATGCATAATGCATAACTCACTATATGAATTAAGATCCCTAGACTACCAGATCTGCTCATATTCAAATGTAAATAATAAAAATCACTCCCAGTGGCGGCTCCTCCTGTCACAGATTCACAGCTGTTAAGGTCTGAGTCCTCCTGGGCCGAGGCTGCAGAGCTGCCTCCACGGGGCTGAGCAGAGCTAAGGAGCAGGGTTTCAGAACACAGAACAACTCCCCTTAAAGTGCTTCTGAGTTAATGTAAATGAAAGTTACAAAACCTGCAATTTATATTTATGATGCTTCCTACTCATTTTAAAAGTGAAATGAAAAATCATGCTATTTCAAGAACTGCATAAAACTGTAGGACACCATTCTTAGAGCAACAAAACTGTTTAGTTCCCTCTGCCCCTGCCATGGGCTACCCACCTTTAGAATAAACTACACTCACAGGGATCTCCCTGGAGGTCATGTGACTGACTCCCCTCCCTACCAGGTGATGCTGCCCCAGCCTAGACAGCACCTCTCAGAAGATATCACATTTCCCAAGGGTGCATATTTCAATAGTGACTTCTTCTTGGGAAAATCAAGACTGTTACATTTCAGTTTATTGACAGCATACCTCATCCATGACAGAAAGGTAATATGTACAACTGGCACCTGAACAGACTCCAGAACAGAGATGTGGCTCCAGAGTGTTGGCTACTGGTTCCCTAGACAAGCCAGCTGTGCTATTAGTATGATTATTAGCAGCAATAATAATGATAGCCTACATTCACTGAGAGTGTATTATGTGCCAGTACAGTATAACAGGTCCGTTATGCACTATCCTCCAAAGCATGTTATAACAGCTCTTTTCTTATAGTACATGCACGTGTGCATATACAGATATAGGTATGTGTGTCTGGTAATACAAGCATGCATGCTTGCACAAAGTACATCTCAATACAGGGAAATAGCTGTCAATAAACAATTTAATTCTAAGAGTCCATTGTGACACATTCAAAAACAAAGCAGTAAGCCAATACACCATACACAAAAACTAACTCTAGATGGATCAAAGACTTAAATGTGAAACCTAAAACTATAAAGTTTCTCAAGGAAAAAATAGGGGCACATTTAGGGGCCCTGATATATGGCATAAATAGACTCTCAAGCATAACCCAAAATGCATAAATAGCAGAAGATGAACTAGGTGAATGGGACCTTCTAAAAATTAAATTTTTATGTGCTTCCAAAGACTTCTTGAAAAGAGTCAAAAGAGAACCTGCAGACTGGGAAAAATATTTGGCAATGACATATCTGACAAGAGACATATCTTTGGAATTTATAGAAAACTCTAACACCTCAACAACAGAAAGACAAATAATCCAATTTAAAAAAATGGTATAACCACTGTGGCAAGCAGTATGGTGGTTCCCTAAAAATTTGGAATAAGAAATACCATTTGACCCAGCCATTCCATTACTAGGTATATATCTTAAACAAGTGAGAGCCAGGACAAGAACAGATTTATGCACACCCAGTTCATCACAGCACTGTTTACAATAGCCAAAAGATGGAAACAACCTAGATATCCATCAACTGAGGAATGGATAACCAAACTATGGTACATACACAAAATGGAATACTATGCAACCCTAAAGAATAATATAGAATCTGCAAAACACTGCATAACGTGGATGAACTTGGAGGATAATACGCTGAGTGAAATAAGTCAATCACAGAAGGATGAATATTGTATTAGTCTGTAATTGTAAAAAGTCAAGCAAAGGTATCTATATGGAAGGAAATTTTCTTTGTTGGTTACCAGGGGTGGGAGGGTAGGGCAGGGAACACTGTTAGATAGGTAGAGACAAGCATTGATTTGGGTGAAAAGAAGGGCAATGTACCAAATGTGTGTGATCAACACAGCAGCATTAAGGAGGAGGAAGACACAGAGAGCTGCATGGGAGGTACAGACGACAAAGATGAACCCTTTTGCACATACAGT